CCAAGGCAAAAATGCATGTTCTCACTACTTCTATTTGGCATAGTACTGGAACCAGCAAGAGTGATCAGACAAGAGAAAGAAGTAAAAGGCATCTGAATAGGATAGGAAGACATAAAAATATCCCTGGTTGCATGTGAGATAGTCCCATATGTAGAAAACAAAGACCCTACCAAAATATAGCAAATACATAAGAAGCAATTGAACAGAAGGCTGTTAGAATAAGTAAATTTAATAATAATCCAGGTTATAAAACCAATCAGTTGTCTTCTCCATACCAGTAAAAATCTACACAAAAACAAAATCAAGACAATGATCTCATTTACAATAGCGTTAAAAGATAAATACAAATAAATTTAGCCAAGGAAGGGAAAGATTTATACACTGAAACTGATAAAACATTGAGGAAAGAAGTTGAAGACAACACAGATCAATGGAGAAATGCCCTGTATTCACAAATTTGAAGAATTAATGTTGTTAAAAATGTCCATACTACCCCCAACAATTTATAGATTCAGTGCAATGTATTCTCTATCAGAATTCCATGGTATTATTTTTCACAGAAATAGAAAAAGCAATTCTACAATTAGTATGGAACCACAGAAGACCTCTAATAGCTAAAGCACCCTTGAGAAAGAACAAAATGGGAGGCATCACACTTTCTAATTTCAAGTTATGTTACAAAGTTGTAGTAATCTCCCAACAATAACTGTGACTGTAGTAGGGCCGAGAACTCTTCCTTGTTATGGCACTGGTTATAATCCTCATACCTGAATATGTCATACACACACTAGCGTCACTCTCCAGCAAAATATACTGCTGCTTTGATTTTAGGTGTGTGCTACTTTCCATCACTACCTAATAATACCATTTTCAAATTGCTGTGGATAATTCTGTGAGAGCTGAAATTACCGAAAAACAAAAAGAAAAACTCAGTAAGTGATGATTTTGGTGACACAAATTTTTTCTGAAAATATTCAGAATTAAAACTGGATAAAACTGCTGTTTTTCATTCTTTAATTAAAACAAAGTCTCCCTTTTACAAATGTGGAAAATTTTTTTCTTAATTCTGAGAGACATTTTCTTTATATAATTATTTCAAAGAGCACATGGATTAAGGAATTTATTAATGTGTTCTTCCACAAGATTATCTGCCTCCCAGTAAATAATTCCTGTGAACAATAGAATGAGCCTTTGAGGCAGGGTAATGGAGTGGCAGGCACTGTATGAATAGGATTCAGGTGCTTTAGCTCAAAGCACTGTTATGAAGTAAACTTCTCTGCATCTCTCATCTTATATTCTACTCTTGGCAGCATTAGCTGAGCTAAAATGGTGACTGACCCCCAGAAGCTGACAAAAACACTTCAGAGAGGGGAAATTAATTTATTCTGACTGCTTGTCAAGCATCAGCCTAACTAGCTTCATCTTTTTGCCCTAGAAGGTGCAAGATTCTAACCTTTGCTTCTATAGCATCTGCATTAAGTAACAAAGTGGCAAAGCAGTTTTTATCAGGAGGAATATGCATTAGTACAGCACCATTAATAGCAGTGAGTACTTAAAAGCAGTGATCTTTTGAGATCAGGGGCAGATGGTCAGATATATTGACCTTCATTTTTCTTTTTAATTCAAAATGATTTATCAAGGAAGTGACTGAATTTGCTAAACTTTCACATGTGATGCAGAGCTCTTGCAGCACATTTCTACTCAAGACAGATATAGTTGGACTTCCCATGAGTTTCGTCACAACAGGCTTCTCAAACACATTTGTGATGTGAGGAGGGTGGAACTACAGATTTGGGAAGTTCCCTGTTAACCACAGGAAAACTCTTGGTGCGCTTTTTCTTCTTTTACTTTTTCTTCCTGAAGTTCACTCTCACTGCCCTTTCTATGTGATCTAAACCAGCCATCCAAAGGGACTGGTTTTGTGTGCTATGTGGTGCTGAAGTGGAAGGCACAGGATCTAACAACAGCTATAATGACCTTTCAAAAAAGCAGGCAGAATTATGTCACTCTGTGGCTTGGGCAGTCCCACGGTTTCCCATTGTGCTCAGTATAAAATCTAGAAATCCTTAGTGTGCCTCTGGAGCCAGCTCCTTCCTGCTTTCCTGACCGCATCTGCTTCAGCCACTCTGGCCTTCTTGCTATTCTTCATGCACCCCACACTTCCTCTAGCCTCAGGATCTTCCCACCTGCAGTTCTTTCTCCTTGGAATACTTGCCCCTCAGATTCCCAGTTTCCACCAGCAGGTTCTTCATCATTCAAGTCTCAGCTCAACTATCACCCCAGCTCAAGCATCACCTTATTCTTTAGCCCTCCCCGAACACTCAATCTAATATTGCCTTTTCTTCTCTCAGTCTCTTCATTCATTATGACACTAATTTATTTGTCATAACATTTATTACTATCTGTAATGCCCCCAGACAAGGATTTGAGCCTAAGTAGTTTTCTTGGAGGTGATCTTACAAAGAACGTGGAGGAGTGTAGATGTAAGTATGGGAAGCAATGGAAGCCAATGCAAGGTCCCTGCCATGGGAAATTGGGGCAGTGGCAACTGCCACTGGGGAACTCTGGGTGACATGGCAGAAGGCTTTGCTTCAAAGTTGTCCCACCTGAAAAGTGAGGGAGCTGGGGTATTTATCCAATAACTCTAACTGGTTGATTGAGGGCTGTTGCTGAGACTATCAAGGCCTCAGCACTTGATGCAGGCCTGTCCTGTGTGAGGACCAGCTTCACCACAGAGAGTCTCGAGGAAGTCATGGGTTCTTGTGGGAGGAAGCAGTAGGACTGGCACGCATGAGAATGGTAAGTATACAGTTCATATGAACAAGCAGTGACAGTGTCCACTGGGCTGTTTATTTACTGACTGTTCCTCTCCCCTAGAATGGAAGCTCCATGACACCAGGGAGGCTATTTTATGTACCCCTGGCACAGTGCCCAGAATAAAATAGGCACTCAATAAACATTAGTCAAGTGAATGAAAAGACAATCAATTTCAAGAGGACAATATAAAGCCTCATATTTATTCCATGGTAAGGTAGGCGACGCTAATATGGCAGATCCAGGAAGGAAGAGATATTAAGTGAGACCTGGCAATGTCCGAAAAATTGAGGGTGTCTGACTGGGGAGGGGTCAGAATTTGCGTGGGGTACTGGAAAGGCCATCAGAGCCTGGTCTAGATTGAGATTTAGACTTAGTAGGAATACTATCTGTGGAAGTGGCCACAGTCAAAACCTCCACTGGCTCTGGGATTCTTTTCCTTCAAGCTACTTTACCTGCTTCACAGAGATGTTAAGATAATAAAAGGAGATAATAGATTTGAAAGCACTCCTAAAAAGAAGTACTCTTATGGAAAAAGCTACTATTTAACTGTTGGAAATATGTTATGTTCGAGTTAAAATTGTTCAGAAGGGCTTAGTCCCTTTAAAAAGTGATTGCTGCTGGCAATAGCTATTTTGATGGACAGTTACTGCCTCCCAGTTGAAGTGAGTAGAATAATCAATTTCCATGGTGTGCCTGATGACCTGTGGCTGAAAAGAGAGGCTAGGGGGTGATCGGGTGACACTTATCTCATAGAAGGCTGGCAGCCTGGGAACAGGGGACCCATGAGAGGTGTGCTTAGGTGACGCTGGAAATTTGTATCTCCATCTGATCTGGAAATCCATTTTGATAAAGTCAATAAGCCAGGGGAGCAGGGAAAATAGAACTGCAGAGTGAAACAGTGAATACAGTTAGAACTAGGTAGAGAGGAGAGTTTTACTTTTGGCAAGGGAGTTTTAGTATTCTGGCTTATCGATTGAAGGACTCTGATACTTAGGCTGCCTGGACACTTGTAGGGCTGGGGTTGAAGTGAAAATAGGGTACTGGCTCCCAGCCCACCCACTCTGGCTCCATCTGCACTTCAGGGAGCCTCCAGTCAATTGCATGTATCAAGGTCTATAGAACCTTTGTCACCCCAACAGCCTGGAACTCTCAGCTCTATCTCCCTCTGTAAACAGCCAGCTCCTGGCCATCTTGGTTTAGGGAGCACACTGAGAGAGCATGCCCTAGTCAGGGGTGACATGCCAGGAAAAGGGGGTTGTACAGGCCCTGGGAATGGGAGTCTTTCCTTGAGACAGAAAGTTCCTGGGTATTGAACTGTGGTCTGTAAAGAGGCAGGCAGGTCTAGGTGGGAAAATTCCTTGATCTCTTAGACTCTTCATTGCATGGGGAGAAATATAGCCAGGAAAAGACCATCACGGTGGGCCCTCTTAAATGTGAGATCCAGGACCGGGGCCCAGGTTCCAGGTCTAAGGGAAGTACACTTGACAGGAAAATGTCATTGCCCCCTTAGTAAAAGATCTAAATGATCAAGATTAGGACAGCTAGCTGCAAAAGCCCAATTGTCCAGTGGGGAAGAAGACGGCAACTCTAGGCAGCTGCTTGCAGGAAGAGAAAGGTAAGTCGACGCAAACTCTCCAAAAGGTCTCCATGTGACTCAGAATAAAATCATAGTTGTTGCAGTGGCTACAGGGCTATGCCTGATCTGCCACTCCATCATATGGTCTTTCTGACTTCATCTAACCCCTTCCCCATTCCCTGCCACTACACTCTGCTCCATTCACACTGGCCTCCTTGCTGGACTTCAGAAATGCCAGATGCATATTCACTGGGGTTTTCTTCTGTGTGGAACACTCCCTGTGTGATGGTTAATATTAAGTGTCAATTTGATTGGATTGAAGGATGCAAAGAATTTGTTCCTGGGTGTGTCTGTGTGGGTGCTGCCAAAGGAGATTAACATTTGAGTCAGTGGACAGGGAAAGGCAGACTCACCCTTAATCTGGTTGGACACAATCTAATCAGCTTCGAGCACAGCCAGAAGAAAAGCCCGCAGAAGGATGTGAAAAGACTGGATTGGTTTAGTATTCTGGCCTACATCTTTCTCCTGTGCTGATGCTTCCTGCCCTCTGACATCAAACTCCAAGTTCTTCAACGGTGGGACACTGACTGTCTTTCTTGTTCCTCAGCTTGCAGACGGCCTATTGTGGGAACTCACCTTTTGATCATGTGAGTCAATACTTTTTAATAAACTTCCCTTTATCTAGACATCCTCTTAGTTCTGTCCCTCTAGAGAACCCTTACTAATTACACCCTGACAGCTACTTGTATGCCCTTTGTACAAATGTCACCCTATCATCATTCACCTACCCTGAGCAGCCTAGTTAAAACTGAACCCAGGAGTCCTGATTCCTTCAACCCCTCTGTTAAATTCACATACTACTGACACCTGTCACCTTCTTGGATCCCTGATGATTTACTTATGGAGTATTTTTTTCCCCCTCTATCCCTGCCCTTGGGAATGTAAGCATCATAAAGGCAGGCTCCAGAACCCAAAGGAAGGCTTGGCACATAGGAGATGCTAAACACATCTTTTTCAAATGAATGCAGTGACTTGACTTTAGGTAAGTAGCAAATAACAATAGGAATTATTTGAAAAGAATATTAATGTTTCTTAAAATATTCAGGATTTATAATTTTTTAAAATTCTTGCCATATGCAGAGGGTTAATGTCTGGATATTTATATGAAGAATTTTCCTTCTTACCCTTTCTCTTGTGGCCTTGTGGATCTTTCTTGTTAAGCCAGTAATGTCATTGTCTTTGAGGGTACAGACTCAGACCAGAGCAAAGAGCCAAAGAAGTCCACAGGAGGCTCTGAAAATCCATAAAAAAAATTACCTGAGAAGAGAACCTAGAAACATGGAGATTTGATTGTGCACATTTTGTCTCTTCTCTCTATCCCTTTTCTCCTTCGAACTTTGGATCAAGGCACTATGTTAGGACCTCAGGACTCAGGGATAGATAAAGTCAGTTTTTGGAAGATGACAGTTTGGTGGTGGAGATTTCTACAGGAAGAAATCATCAGCATTATATGGAGAGTGCTCTCATGGAGGTATGCCAAAATACTATGGAAACAAGGACCTTGGAGGATGACTAGGTTGACCTGAGAAGGGGCTGCCAGGGGAACCACTGGGGCACATGGGTAGGATTCTGTATCTTAGAGACTGGGAAGAATATGCAGTGATTATTTCCAGATTTTTAAATGTTCTTAGGCCTGAAAGGCAATTTTTGATTTAAAAAATTACCATCTTGAAAGCCCTATTTCCTTGCACAAATTCTGCCTCTGTCTAGTTACATATTAATATGTACATATCAGTTACAGTATCAGTAGATATATCACTATATCAAAAACACCAATAGTAGTAAGTGTAGGAACCATGATGCCAGGCATAGTGCCAAGCTCTTTATTCCTTACAATGTACCAAGGCAGAAGATAATATCATTATTCTGATTTTATAGTTGGGGAAACCAAAGCATCCTGAATGAAAAAACACATAGTGATATCATTATTTAACAAGTCTTTCTGAAATTGATTGTCCATGTGTTCTTTCCACATCAACAATATGTGTTCTAAAGAAACGTATATTCCAAGATGAGGGAGAGATGTATGTGCCAAAATATGCTGCTAGAAAAGTGGCTAAGCCAACAAGCATAAATGCGTACATTCTAGAGAAGTGGTTGCTTTAAGATGCTTCTAAGAATGGAGAAGACTCAGTGACTGCTGCCTGTGTCTTAAATGCCAGGTAGAGATTTTCTGTGAAGAACAGAAACAGCTGCTTTATAATAATGCTCAAAATAATGCCTAATTTCCTGATAGCAGAATACTTAAATGAAGCTATCAACATTTTATTTGGTGGTTTTAGACAATTTAAAGAAATGGTAGCATGGGGATTTTTCGCCATGATGGCTGAATAGCAACAGCTGCGGTACGCATTTCCCATCAAGAACGATGCACAAGGCAGGTGATCTCTGCATTTCCAACTGAGTTACCTGGTTCATCTCTTTTGGACTGATTAGACAGTGGGTGCAGCCCAAGGACAGGGAGCCAAAGCAGGGTGGGGTGTTGCCTCACCTGAGAAGCTCAAGGGCCTGGAGAACTCCCTCTGCTAGCCAAGGGAAGCCATTAGGGACTTTTCCTGACACTCTGACTCAGATACTGTGTTTTTACCAAGGTTTTCACAACCTGCAAACCAGGAAATTCCGTCTGGGGCCTGCACCACCAGTGCCCTGGGTTTTCAGCAGAAAACTGGGTGGCCATTTTAGCTGCAGCAGTTTTTTTCCCCCTCATATCCCAGTGGTGCCTGGAACACCAGTGAGACAGAACTGCTCATTCCTCCAGAAAAGGGGATTGAAGCCAGGGAGCCAAGTGATCTGGCTCAGTGGGTCCCACCCCCACGAAGATCAGCAAGCTAAGATCCACTGGCTTGAAACTCTCATAGTCAGCAAAGCAGTCTGAGCTCAACCTGGGACATTCAAGCTCCATGTGGGGAGGGGCATCCACCATTGCTGAGGTTTGGGTAGGTGGTTTTAACCTCGCCTGTGTAAACAAAGTTGCCAAGAGGTTTACACAGCTACTGGGTAGAGGCCATGGGAGCACAGCAAGGCCTCTGCAGGCAGACTGTGTCACAGGACTCCCTTCTTGCTGTGCAGGGCATCTCTCAAAAAGGGCAGCAGCCTGTCAGGGACTTATAAATAGAGCCCCCAACTTCCTGGGACAGAATACCTGGGAAAAAAAGGGATGGTTGTGGGTTCAGCTTCAGCAGACTTAAATGTCCCTGCCCAGCAGTGCTGAAGAAAGCAATGGATCTCCCAGCACAATGCTCAAGCTCTGATAAGGGACAGACTGCCTCCCCAAGTGGCGCCCTGACCTTTGTGTATCCTGACTGGGAGACACCTCACATAGGAGAACTGTGGCTGGCATCTGGTGGGTACCCTTCTGGGATGAAGCTACCATGGGTGGGGGGTGGGGGAAGGCAGCAATCTGCTGTTCGGCAGCCCCCATGGATGATTCCTGGGCAAGAAAGTTCTGGAGTGGACCTTCAGCAAATGCCAACAGACCTGCAGCAGAGGTGCCTGTTAGAAGGAAAACTAACAAAAAGAAATAGTTTCAACATCAACAGCAAGGACATCCACTCAGAGACCTCCATCTACAGATCACCAACTTCAAAGACCAAAGGTAGATAAATCCACGAAGACAGGAAGAAACCAGTGCAAAAAGGCTGAAATCTCCAAAAACCAGAATGCCTCTTCTCCAAGGGATTACAATTCCTCAGCAGCAAGGGAACAAAACTGGATGGAGAATGAGTTTGATAAGTTGACAGAAGGAGGCTCAGAAAGTGGATAGTAACAAACTTCTATGAAGTAAAGGAGTATGTTCTAATCCAATGCAAGGAAGCTAAGAACCTTGATGAAAGGTTAGATGAAAGGTTAACTAGAATAACCAGTGCAGAGAAGAACTAAATGACTTGATGGGGCTGTAAAATTCAGCACGAGAACATTGTGAAGCATACACAAGTTTCAATATTAAGCAGAAGAAAGGATATCAGAGATTGAAGATCAACTCTATGAAATAAAGAGAGAAGGCAAGATTAGAGAAAAAAGAGTGACAAGAAATGACCAAAACCTCAATGAAATATAAGATTATGTGAAAAGACGAAATCTATGTCTGATCGGTATACCTGAAAGTGATGGGGAGAATGACACCAAGTTGGAAAACATTCTTCAGGATATTATCCAGGAGAATGTTCCCAACCTAGGAAGGCAGGCCAACATTCAAATTCAGGAAATACAGAGAATACCACAAAGATATTCCTCGAGAAGAGCAACCCCAAGACACATAATTGACAGATTCACCAAGGCTGAAATGAAGGAAAAAATGCTAAGGGCAGCCAGAGAGAAAGGTTGGGTTACCCATAAAGGGAAGCCCATCAGAGTCACAGCAGATCTCTCAGCAGAAACCCTACAAGCCAGAAGAGAGTGGGGCCAATAGTAACATCCCTAAAGAAAAGAACTTTCAACTCAGAATTTCATAACCAGTCAAACTTAATTGCATAAGTGAAGGAGAAATAAAATCCTTTACAGACAAGTAACTGCTGAGAGATCTTGTCATGACTAGGCCTGCCTTACAAGAGCTCCTGAAGGAAGAACTAAACATGGAAAGGAACAACCAGTACCAGCCACTGCAAAAACATACCAAATTGTAAAAACCATTGACACTATGAAGAAACTGCATCAACTAACGGGTGAAAAACCAGCTAGCATCAAATGGCAGGATCAAATTCAAACATAACAATACTAACCTTAAATGTAAATTGGCTAAATGCCCCAATCCAAAGACACAAACTGGCAAATTGGATAATGAGTCAAGACCTATTGGTGTGCTATATTCAGGAGATCCATCTGACATGAAAAGACACACACAGGTTCAAAATAAAGGGATGGAGGAAGATTTACCAAGCAAATGTAGACCAAAAAAAGTGGGGTGGGTGGGTTGCAGTTCTACTCTCTGGTGAAACAGACTTTAAACCAACAAAGATCAAAAGAGACAAAGAAGGGCATTACATAATGGTAAAGGGATCAATGCAACAAGAAGAGCTAACTATCCTAAATATGTATGCACCCAGATACATAAAGCAAGTTCTTAACCTACAAAGAGACTTAGACTCTAATGGGGGGGGGGAGACTTTAACAGCCCACTGTCAATACTAGACAAATCAGTGAGACAGAAAATTAAAAAGGGTATCCAGGACTTGAACTCAGATCTGGAGCAAGCGGACCTACTAGACATGTATACAACTCTCCACCTGAAGTCAACAGAATATACATTCTTCTCAGCACCACATGATACTGATTCTAAAATTGACCACATAATTGGAAGTAAATCACTCCTCAGGATTTCCATTCTTTTGTATTTGCTAACAGTCTCTCAGACCACAGTGCAATCAAATTAGAACTCAGGATTAAGAAAAGGACTCAGAATCGCACAATCACATGGAAACTGAACAATCTTCTCCTGAATGACGATTGGATAAATAACAAAATGAAGGCAGAAAGAAAGATGTTCTTTGAAACAAATGAGAATGAAGACACAATATACCAGAATCTCTGAGACACATTTAAAGCAGTGTCTAGAGGGAAATTTATAGCTCTAAATGCCCATAAGAGAAATGAGAAAAGATCTTAAAATCAACACCCAAAGTCACAATCAAAAGAATTAGAGGAGCAATATCAAACTAATTCAAAAGCTAGAAGAAGACAAAATATAATTAAGATCAGAGCAGAACTGAAGGAGACAGAGACACAAAAAAACGCTTCAAAAAAAAAAAAAAAGTGAATCCAGGAGCTGTTTTTGAAAAGATCAGCAAAACAGATAGACCACTAGCCAGACCAATAAAAAGGAAAAGAGAGAAGAATCAAATAGATGTAATAAGAAATGATAAAGGGACATCACCACTGATCCCACAGAAATACAAACCACCATCAGAGAATACTACAAATACTTCTATGCAAATAAACTAGTAAATGTAGAAGCAATGGATAAATTCCTGCACACGTACACACTCCCAAACTCCCAAGACTAAACCAAGAAGTTGAATCCCTGAATAGACCAATAACAAGGGTTGAAATTGAGGCAGGAATTAATAGCTTACAAACTTAAAAAAGTCAGGACCAGATGGGATCACAGCCAAATTCTACCAGGTGTACAAAGAGGAGCTGGTACTATTCATTCTGAAACTATTCCAAACAATACAAAAAGAGGAAATTCTCCCTAACTCATTTGATGAGACCAACATTATCCTGATACCAAAATGTGGCAGAGGCACAACTAAAAAATAAAATTTTGGGCCAATATCCTGGCCCAAAGTGAACACTGATGCAAAAATCCTCATTAAAATACTGGGAAACTGAATCCAACAGCACACCAAAAGCTTATCCAACACAATCAAGTCTGCTTCATCCCTGGGATGCAAGGCTGGTTCAACGTATGCAAATCTATAAATGTAATCCATCACATAAACAGAACCAAAGACAAAAACCACATGATTATTTCAATAGATGCAGAGAAGTCCTTTTTGAATTGACAAAATTCAACAGCCTTTTATGCTAAAAATTCTCAATAAACTAGGTATGGATGGAACGTATCTCAAAATAATAAAAGCTATTTATTTCAATCCCACAGCCAATATCATGTGCAAAACCTGGAAGCATTCCCTTTGAAAACTGGCACAAGATGAATATGCCCTCTCTCACCAATCCTATTCAACATAGTACTGGAAGTTCTGGCCAGGGTAATCAGGCAAGAAAAATAAATAAAGAGTATTCAATTAGGAAAAGAGGAATTGTCTCTATTTGCAGACGACATGATTGTATATTTAGAAGACCCAATTTTCTTGGCCCAATATCTCCTTAAGATAATAAGCAACTTCAGCAAAGCCTTAGGATACAAAATCAATGTGCAGAAATCACAAGGATTCCTATACACCAGTAAGAGACAAACAGAAAGTCAAATAATGAGTAAACTTACATTAACAACTGCTACTAAGAGAATAAAATACCTAGGAATACAACTAATAAGGGATGTGAAGGACCTCTCGAAGGAGAACTACAAACCACTGCTCAAGGAAATAAGAGAGGACACAAACAGATGGAAAAACATTCCATGCTCATGGTTAGGAAGAATCAATATTGTGAAAATGGCCATACTGCCCAAAGTAATTTATAGATTCAATGCTTCTCCCATTAAGCTACCACAGACTTTCTTCACAGAATTGGAAAAAACTACCTTAAACTTCATAGAGAACCAAAAAAGAGCCCGCATAGCCAAGACAATCCTAAGCAAAACAAAAACAATCAAACAAACAACAAAAACAAAAAGCTGGAGGCATCACTCTACCTGACTTCAAACTATACTACAAGGCGACAGTAATCAAAACAGCATATTGCTGATAACAAAACAGAGACATACACCAATGGAACAGAACAGAGGCCTCAGAAATACCACCACACATTTACAACCATGTGATTTTTGACAAACCTGACAAAAACAAGCAACGGGGGAAAGATTCCCTATTTAATAAATGGTGTTGGGAAAACTGGGTAGTCTTATGCAGAGAATTGATACTGGACCCCTTCCCTACATTTTCTACAAAAATTAACTCCAGATGGACTGAAGATTTAAATGTAAGACTTAACATCACAAAAACCCTATAGGAAAACCTAGGCAGTACCATTCAGATCATAGGCATGGGCAAAGACTTCATGACTAAAACACCAAAAGCAATGGCAACAAAACCCAAAATAGACATATGGGATCTAAATTAAAGAGCTTCTGCACAACAAAGGACATACAACCATCACTACAGTGAACCAGCAACCAACAGAATGGGAAAAAATTTTGCAATCTACCCATCTGACAAAAGGCTAATATCCAGAATCTACAAAGAAGTTAAATTTACAAGAAAAAAGCAGCCCCATAAAAATGTGGGCAAAGGATATAAACGGACTCCTTTCCTCCTTTCCACTTTACTCAATTTTATCAATTCTTTGCTTTGACCCACATATATGGGTGTGTTTAATGGGAAGCAACTGAAGTTTCCTATGCCCACATTGTTTTACCTATAACAATGGTATGCTCCTCAAAGATTGTATAACAGAGAGGTTCTATAGTGGTAACACTAGGTATAATCAATGGGCGTTTTTCTGAAGAAACTAAAAAAACTTTCAGAATTAAACCTGCATACTTTTAAGAACACAGAGAAACAAATTATTAGCTCCTTGAGGGTAATTTCCGTCTCATTCATAATTAGATTCCTAATATCTGACACATATTAGGTACCCCAAATGTTTGACTCATGTATAAAAGCAATGTTTACCATGATGATGGACATGGGATAGATGTTTGGTAACTACTTATTGATTTAGAGGAGAATCCGGAATCTTCACACATAACTGGATTATCTTTTTAAGGCATGGGTGTAGGCATGGAACTAAGGTTAGACATAGGTTTTCACCTATTCTTTTCTTCCTTTTCTCCTCCCTATTTGCTCCCTTCATTATCACTTTGCTGTCATAAGCAGCTAATTCAGTCCTTTGCGATTTAACACCGTAGGCAAATGGATTTCAAAGTTCCTCCTCACAGTACAACCTGGAACCTCCTGTCATAGTATATTTTAAATTTACATCTCAAAACTCACTGTGAAGGGACTGCGTAAATTTTGAACTGTACTCAGTGCCTAGAGTTGTGTGAGTGCTAAAAATACATGCACTTATGAATAGTGCCACAATAAACATACATGTACAAGTATCTTTATAATAGAATGATTTATAATCCTTTGGGTATATACCCAGTAATGGGATTGCTGGGTCAATCCCATGGTATTGATTGGATTGGTCAATCCAATCAAATGGTATTTCTATGTCTAGATCCTTGAGGAATTGCCACATTGTCTTCCACAATGGTTGTACTAATTTACACTCCCACATTCTGCATATGTACCCCAGAACTTAAAGTATAATAAAAAAAATACATGCACTTGCCTAAAGGAGTTTACAACATTCACAGCAGGAGCTTTAAACTTTCACTTAGAGGTTATAGAAAGTTGGCTGGATGGCAAAAGCAAATTTATTTAAATACCATTTTTACACTCGTTTCATAATAGTAACATTTTATCTTTTTTTACAATGATTTATAGGCGCTGGAGCAGAATAGGGGAGTCAAGAAGAAAAGCAATTAACGAATAAAGGAAAAAGTACCAACAGTGAAGGGAAAAAAATTCTTCTGAAGGCTAAAGAAGAGAGAATAATTGATGGTTCCATTTTAGCTTAATGTTATTTCTGGATCTCTTTTATAATGTGTTATTTACTGCATAGTTTATACTTGACAGAAAATAAACAGCATTTGCAATATAATGTCTTTTGCTCTGCATGCACTTGCTCATCCCGCTTGCTTGTCAAGTTAGAACTTCAACCAACATCCGTCAAAGTCTCCTGTGATAGAGTCTGTTTTTAATAAGCCCGGCACTATAATTACCTTATTGCAAAGTTAAGGCCAAATGACACTTATGATGAAGGTTTCATGGCTAAACAGTAAAGTCAGTGAAGCATATGCATACCAACTGTCAGGCAGGAAATAGCTGTTCGAGGATTTGTTTCTTTATTGCCTGACGAGGGTCACTTCATTTGTACTTGGAAACTTTGTCACAGCTACAACAGGTATCAGAGAAGGAAAAAGAATAAATAACAAAGAATAAATAACTTAGGAAGATACCATTATTAACAGATTTTTGAAAAGATGAATTACTGAGCGTTGGTGCTCAGTAATGTGTGTGCTAGTTGTTTTCACAAATATTTTCTATTTTAAAACTCCCCTATACTCCAAAGAGTTAAAATATCGTCCAAATTTTGTAGATGGGGAAACTGAGGTTTTGAAAGTTTTAAAATTGTGTGCTGGAGGGCACTTAGCTGACAACTGGCAAAACTATACCAGCAACGCAGTCTAGATTATTCAAAGTCCAATGAGGTTTTCCCGTATGTGACAGGGGCAGTATTTGGTCAAGCACGATCCAGATTGTGGTCTGGATGGAAGTGAGGTATGGTTTAGACAGGTCCACATACTGAGTTACTAATAGTAGAAAGGCAGAGAAGCAGATAAATGATGATCCTCTGTATTGCATAGCCAAGATCCATCTCTGTTTTACATTGTCAAAAGTTTTACATTTTTGTGACAATTATAATCAACTGTGAATTGATATATCAGTATACATCACATTACACATCACGGCATCTTTCGCCAAAGCAGCTCTGGAAATAAATGGAATCTTGCTTTCATCGTATGTGTGGATGACAATGACAATGACAGAATGGCACTGTGAAGGTTAGGAGCATCATTTTCATTTAACGGATGATAGAAAATGAATCACTGCATCATTTGACTTGTTGCATCATGTGACTCATTTAGTAGTCACCAGTCTACTAAATCTGGGATATTTATTCTCCATTTAGTATCTCAAGGCAGAAATATGGGACTTCTTACTCTTCTCTTGAGGTATTTCTAAGTACATAAGAGCATCAGATTCTTCTCCCAGTTGGCCTGAGGGTTCATGTTGGATCAACTTCCAGAATTGCTCTGATGCACATCTTGGAAGAGGAATGCTCTACTATTCAATGAAGTGCTTAGCATTGGTGGCATCAGACCTGAAGTTAATTTACTGAATAGGGTATTTTGATTTCCAGGACTAATCCACATCAGGGCAGGGTTTTAAAATAATGAATTGATGTAAGGTAAAAATAACTTAAATATTTTGGTTACAAAATCAATGTTAAAGAAAGTTGTATTTCAGGCTATGTGGTTAACATTTAGTCATTGCCATGATAGACTAGCAAAGATGGAGAATGTTGAAATCAAACTCTTGGCTCTTCAATGGTATCTCTGTGTAATGCCTGGCGTCTCTGTGTAACTCCTCAATTGAGTTTTCAAGTGCCAAACAATTAGGAAGTCGACTAACAAGTGGATTGAGTGAAAGCAGGAGCCCTTCCTCACTCCATAACACTGTTCACCTTTCCTCCTCTCCTTAGTGTCTGTTGCTTCTGAGATTAGGAGGTAGGGAGGGCCTGGAGATTGGAGAGATCAGTGTGGTGGTGGGAGGTCACAGGACTGATTTGGCATCTCCTAGTAATCAATGGAGGGGGTATCTGGCCGTCAGCTTTCGCCAGCTTTCTTCAGAATGTAGAGTTTTTGATGTCGCTCTCATCAGTTTTGTCTTCATGCCACTGAGTCTGAGGTAACAGGTTAAGTTCTCCCTCAACATGGTTATATTCCATGTCTTACCAGAGACATTGAGGTTTTCTGTAATTTCTCCTAAGAGTACTGGTATCAGAAACTTGCAGGCCTGGGGTTTTTATGTTGCACTACTTCCTCTAGTCACATATAATCTTTCTGTGGTTTTATCCTTGCTGATATTAAGACCAAGTGCATAACTAATGTGAATAAGATAAATTTAGTGTAGCAGGAGGGAAAATATTAGCAAGATAATCACTGAGATGCATTCTGCCTCCGCAATGGAGGGAGAGGATTTACTTCTGTTGTGTCTAGCCATCTTGTGGATTTAAAAATCATCAATCTTGAGTTGATTTTTGTATGGGGTGAGAGATGAGGATCCAGTTTCATTCTCCTGCCTGACAGTTATCCTAGCACCTTTTGTTGAAAGAGGAATCCTTTCCCTACTTTATGATTTTGTTTGTTTTGTTGAAGATCAGTTGTCTCCAAGTATTTCGGTTTATTTCTGGGTTCTCTATTCTGTTCTGTTGGTGTATTTGCCTATTTTTATACTAGTACCACACTGTTTTGGTGACTAGGCCTCATAGTATAGTTTGTAATCAGATAGTGTGATGGCTTCAGATTTGTTCTTTTTGCTTAGTCTTTTTTCGGCTAGATGGGCTCTTTTTTGGTTCCATATGAAGTTTAGAATTGTTACAAATATCAACTCAAGATGGATTAAGGACTTAAACCTAAGACCTGAAACTATAAAAATTCTAGAAGATAACATTTGAAAAAACCTTTCTAGACAGTGGCTTAAGCAAGGATTTTATGACCAAAAACCCAAAAGCAATTGCAATAAAAACAAAGATAAATAGTTGAGACCTAGTTAAACTAAAGGCTTTTACATGGCAAAAGGAAGAGTAAGCAGAGTAAATAGACAACCCACAGAGTGGGAGAAAATGTTCACAATCTATACATCTGACAGAGGACTAATATCCGGAATCCACAACAAACTCAAATCAGTAAGAAAAAAAAAATCAATCCCATCAAAAAGTGGGCTAAGGACATGAATAGACAATTCTCAAAAGAAGATATATGAATGGCCAACAAACATATGAAAAAATGCCCAACATCACTTACGATCAGAGAAATGCAAATAAAAACCACAATGTAATGCCACCTTACTCCTGCAAGAATGGCCATAATAAAAAAAACAAAAACAGTAGATGTTGGTGTGGAGGCGGCAATCTGGGAAAACTTGTACACTGCTGGTGGAAATAACAAGTACATACAGCCACTATGGAAAACAGTGTGGAGAGTCCTTAAAAAACTAAAAGCAGAACTACCATTTGATCCAGCAATCCTACTACTGGGTATCCACCCAGAGGAAAAGAAGTCATTATTTGAGAAAGATAGTTGCACACATGTTTATAGCAGCACAATTCACAATAGCAAAATTATGGAACCAACCCAAATGCCCATCAATTGACGAGTGGATAAAGAAACTCTGATATATATATATATATATATATATATATGATGGAATACTACTCAGCCATAACAAGGAATGAATTAAAAGCATTTGCAGTGACCTGGACAAGATTAGAGATTATTATTCTAAGTGAGGTAACTCAGGAATGGAAAACCAAACATCGTATGTACTCACTGATATGTGGGAACTAAGCTATGAGGACACAAAGACATAAGATTGGACTTTGGGGACTTGGAGGGAAGAGTGAGGGGAGGTGAGGGATAAAAGACAACAAACATGGTGTAGTGTATACTGCTAGGGTGATGGGTGCACCAGGTTCTCATAAATCTCCACTAAAGAACTTAATGATGTAACTACCACCTCGACCCCTTAAGTTTTCCATAACTTATGGAAAAATAAAATTGAAAAAATAAAAATAATATTATTGTGTCACTTCTAACATCCACATTGGATATAACAATAAAATGACAATAAGATTACTTTTATGCAAATGTACCACATTATTTTTTAGACAGGGACTCCCTCTGTCACCCAGTCAGGAGTGCAGTGAGGTGATCTTGGCTCACTGCAACCTCCACCTCCCAGGGTCAAGGGATTCTCCCACCTTGGCCTCCTGAGTACGTCAGACTAAAGGTGTACACCACCACACCTGGCTAATTTTTCTATTTTTTGACAGATATGTGGTTTCACCATGTTGGCCAGGGTGGTCTCAAACTCCTAATCTTAAGTGATCCACCCACCTCGGCCTTCCAAAGTGCTGGGATTACAAGCCCAAGCCTGGGTTTCACATGGAATAATTTCTGTAACAACACTAAGCGCCAGAGATGAGAAAACGAAGAAAAAGCTGTTTTGAATTTGAATAGTTTGAAAAAGGCTTCTTAGAAGAATTAAATGACTTACGATGCAGAGTGGCAGAGCATGTTGGATGTTCTTGATTGTGGTGGGGGATAAGAAAAGGGAATGCATGAGCAAAATGATGAGATTAAGCAGGCCCTCTCTTACAATGTTCTGAGTTGAATTTTAAAACTCTAATTGTAATGAGTCTCTAATTACTATTCAAATTCAGATTATGGAGGCCACATTACTTGCCCATTAACACATATACTTTGTGGACACCATTTTTAGTGTCAGTTTGAAGAATGGTTTTCAAAGTGTACTCTTGGATACAACCACATCAGAATCATCTGGGGTACTTGAAAAAAAATGCACATTTCTAGGCCCTCTCCCAGACTTTTTGGATCTGAATCTTTGAGGGTGGGGTCTCTGAATCTGCATTTTAAATATTCTTCTTTAAGGGAATTCTTAAACTCACTGAAGTTTAAGAATTACTAATGTAAAAGAAGCTGAAAGCCCATGTACACTTGTGATAAAAATGACTTAGGGAAATGTCATCGTGATAAAAGCCCTGTCATGTCACTGCTGAGTGTTGCAAAGAGATGGTTTTTCTTTCAAAACTAGAGTTGTCAAGAGACATTAGTTGACTGTCTCAGGAAGAGCCTCATGGGATGAAGTCTTCATGGTTTTGAGGCCTGGACCCTTACTTTGCATAGGCAGAAATTACATTGGATGTTTTTGTCTACAGGGAGCCTGACTCATGCTAGAAAATTCATAAGAGAGTTACTGGTAAACCCGACTACTGCTTTATGAATTTGTGGTAGAAATTATACCTGATTTAAGAACCAAGACCACATTGGTGGGTCTCCAGGAGAGAGGATATACATCAAGTGACTCAGTGAACAGTGAGTTATCAAACTTGATAGTAAATGTCTCTGTACTCGTCTACTTCTCTTACTAGACTGAACTCTCTTCGAGCCTTTTATTTCTGGTATCTCCCTCGTGGTACTGAGGTATCCATTACAAAATCAACACCTAAGAGAACTGTTGGATGAACAAATGATTTATTCTAAACCAAGGGGATCAAATGATCAGAGGCATATTTATATTGATCTGGCCAATAGATACTTCCCTTCTCATTGTTACAAAAAATGGTTAGGGTCTACACAGTTGGATTTCTGAT